TCTCTCTCGAACCTTATCTTCCTCCCGATCTCCCTTCTCTGTTTTTTTTCTTTTATTTCCTCTTGCTTTTCCTTTTTTTTTTCTTTCCCTTCTCCTTTTTATACCCCACTTGCCTCTCATCCTGCCCGTCCATCTCACCTCATCCCAACCGTCCACTCCCTCTTCTCCAAACAATGTCGTTTCCTACTCTTCTCCAAACAACGCCGTTTCCTCCACCTCTTCACCAAACGACATTGTTTCCTCTAAACGACGCCGTTTCCTCCTCCTCTTCTCCAAACGATGTCGTTTCCTCCTCTTCTCTAAACGGCACCATTTCACTTATATATACATACATACATACAAATTTCTTTTTTTTTTTACATCCAGTTACTACATTTTGTCCAGTCACCAACCGATTCTATAACACTGTGGATGTCACCTTTTTTGAAAACTAATCCTTTTATCCCACTCTCAATATTCAGGAGGAGACATCTGGTACTCAGGAATATCGATTATGGGATGTGAACATACCTCCATTACATGTTCTATTAACAACATTAGAAAAAGAACTCGTCTCTCAAACTACCAAAGAACCTGAACCTGAACTCACCACAGAGACTGATAGCACATTACCTACAATAAGTAAGTTGCGTGTCTATACCAGGAAGAACAAAACTCAAAGTCAAGATAAAGTACCTGAGTCAACTATGCACTATCATGATTCAACTCCTAAACCAAGCACCCACAATAACACAGGTAATGAGATCTCTAACTCAACTGATGATATTGGTTTACCTATTACTTTACGAAAATGTGTTTACTCATGTACAATGCATCCCATACAGGATTATATCTCATATGGCAAACTATCTTCAAAATATCAAGCTCTTATGAGTAAATTAGACAGTATCCCTTCAGAACCAAGAACGATTCATGAAGCTCTCAAAATTCCTAAGTGGAATGCTGCTATCCACGAAGAAATTTCAGCTCTTAAGAAAACCAGAACATGGGAGTTATATGATCTACCTTCAGGAAAAACTCTAGTAGGATGCAAGTGGATCTTCACTACTAAATACAATCCTGATAGTAGTGTGAATCGCTACAGAGCACGACTTGTTGCTAAAGGATTCACTCAGTCATATGGAATTGATTATAAAGAAATGTTTGCTCCAATTGTCAAGCATAGCACAATCTGGGTACTATTCTCTTTAGCCTCTAATCTTGATTGACCTCATTTCTAGCTTGATGTAAAGAATGCTTTCTTTAATGGTGATCTAGAACAAGAAATATATATGGAAGTCCTACCTGAGCTTGGATAAATCTACAAAAAGTATGCAAACTAAAAAAGGCACTGTATGATCTCAAACAGTCTCCAAGACCATGGTTTGACAAATTCACTGAGGTAATGAAGCATATGAGATACGAACAGTGTCAATCTGATCACACTTTATTCATCAAGCACTGTATCACAGGAAAGAGAGATGTACTAATCGTTTACGCTGATGACATTATATTAGCAGGTGATCATAATGAAAAAATCCAAAAATTGAAAGACTTTCTAACCAAAGAATTTGAAATCAAAGACCTTGTAATACTTAAGTATTTTCTTGAAATGGAAATCGCTCGATCCAAGAATGAAATTTCTATATCTCAGCAGAAAAACATCTTAAATCTTCTGAATGAGACAGATATGCTTGGTTGTAAACTTGTAGAGACTCCTATGAAATCAAATGTTAAACTTGCCTCCAAAAGTGATTACAAATCTGTTGATAAAGAGATGTATAAGCGACTTGTTGGAAAACTCATATACTTGGCTCACACGAAACCTGACAACTACTTTGCATTAAGCACTATGAGTCAATTCATATCTCAACCTACTGAGGAACATATGAGTATTGTCTATCGCATCTTGAGGTACCTAAAGATGACACTTGGACAAAGATTATTTTTTCATAAGACTATGATTAGAGATATTGAAATCTACACTGATGCTGATTGGGCTGTTTCAATAACTGATAGGAGATCTACATCTGGTTATTATTCTTATGTATTGGGCAATCTAGTCACTTGACGGAGTAAGAAACAAACTGTTGTGTCAAGAAGTAGTGCTGAAGCTGAATTACGATCTCTTACCCATGAAATATGTGAAGGAGTATGGCTTAAAAAGATCTTATTTGAATTAAGGTTCTCGACTCCCACTACTATGAGGATTTAGTGTGACAATCTATCAACTATAAGCATGGCCAAGAATCCTGTGCACCACGACAGAATTAAACATGTGGAAATTGATCGACACTTCATCAGAGAGAAAATTGAAAGCAAGGATATATCACTATAATACATCTCAACAAGTCAACAAACTGTAGACATTCTCACAAAAGCACTACCAAAAAGAGAATTTAATAATCTTGTATCCAATATAGGATTACTTAACATTTATGTATCCTAAATTGAGGGGGAGTGTAGAAGTGTATATGTGTAGAAATGTAAATACACTATGCGTAAATTAGTATTTTACTAGATTGTTATGTTAGCTGGGAAATGCACACTACCATTGCACTCCGTTAAACTGTTAGAATATTTTCCATAACCACTTTTGTTTGTTCTGGCTGAATGCCTATAAATTGGCATCTTTGTGCCCACTAATAATAATAGAAGATTCTCCTCTTCTCCCAAACTCTCAATCTTCTTCACTTATAATAACAGTTATCATTTCACTATCGGCATAACTCCGTATAAAAACATTACAATAGGCCCTATCATTCTTCCACTTGTTGGAATGAAGTCGGGAACCATCATCATTTGGGACCAGATTACATTCAAGAAACTATTGATAAAGTCGCCATTCTTCGAAAGAACCTAACCACTATTTAGAGTCATCA